TCTTTTCAATTATCTCTAAAGTGCCATAGTAAAATCTTGCTTTAGAGCAGGGGTCAACAAATTGATCCAGCCTGCCTCCATTTTTGTATAGCCTGTAAGCTAAGAATGGTTTTTATATTTTTAAGTGGTTGATAAAAATCAAAAGAAGAATGTTTCATGATGTGAAAATTATATGAAATTCAAATTTTAGTGTCCATAAATAAAGTTCTTTTAGAACACAGCCACATGCATTTGTTTACAGATTTTCTGTAGTTGCTTTCTCATTACGACAGCAGAGTTTAGTAGTTGCAAAAGAGATGTATTGGTCACAAAGCCTAAACTATTTACTACTGATACCTTACGGAAAACCTTTGCCTAGCCTTGCTTTAGAACATGAAGTGGTTCTCCAGTGGTTTGAGTCAGGGCAGCTCCTAAAAGTGCCAGAGTTATTCTCAGGGAAGGTGACAATGAAAACATCTGAGTTCAGCTTTACTAATTTGGGGGAAGTAACCAAGAAATAGAACTTGAAGTATGATAGAGAGGAGGGGATAGGGTATCTTCAATTTCTCTTTAGGCCCGGAAATAATAACAGCCTTTTGATAGATCAAAATATATAGGGCCGGCCCAGTGGCGCACTGGATAGTGCGCCCGCTTGGGAAGCTCGGCGGCGCTCCCGTCTGAGGGTTCGGATCCCACGTACAGACCGGTTCCCGCTCACTGGCTGAGCGGGGCGCGGGAGCAACGCCGAGGCTTGCGATCCCGTCGCAGGTCCCCGGTCCGGTACGGGGGCAACACTGAGGGTTGCGATCCGTTGCCAGACACGGAAAAAAGACAAAAAAATATATATATATATATAATAATGTTTTTTCAAGGTATATTCATGTTACTACTAAACTCCATTTACCTTTTTATAATTATCAGTTTTGTGTTTAAACTTAACACAATTTAAACAAAGTAACTTTGTCATCATTTCCGTATCTAAAGTGTAGTACGTCGAGTGAGATAGACCTCAATCAATCACTCTAAAATAACTGTCTCTTGTATTGTTTCCTTAATATTGCTCATATTTACACGTCAGTACTACTAGAGGTTAGAGCACAAATAATTAGAAACCACAAATTATCTCGACACCTGATTTATCGGTTTCATCCCCCTCTTAAGACTTTCGCTTTGGCAATCAATAAAAAGCCACACTTTTTAGTGCCGTCTCTTCCCATTGCTGTCCACCCTCTGGTGGAAAAATACTTAGGACCAATAAAATGACCAAAAGGTGGCAGCAGGAGGGCAGAGGAGCAGAAGAGAAAGGAGAAACAAAGAGCCCCACTCACAGCTGGACAAGCAGCCTCTGGGCCATCCCGAGTTGGCTGAACTTCCATCAACAAAACATTTTTTTCTCTAGGTATTTCTCTCAGAACCAAATAGGAGTTTCAAAGCAATTGCCAAAAAAGATGTGAACTGGCTTTGCCTAAAACGTCATTCCAGTGCCATGGATTATATACCTTACTTTGGAATAGATTTTATGACTTGATTTTTGAAGGTCTATACTGTTTTAAGATCAGTCAGAAGCAACAATACATGTTTAACTTTCTCTGATACTTTCTGGCTAAAGACCAGAAGTTTTGTTTTGGTTTGGTTTTGATGGGGGAACCAAACCCTTGACTTTGGTGTTAAAAGTCCACACTCTGAACAACTGAGCTAACCAGCCAGCCCAAACCAGAAAAGTTTTGACTAGTTCGCTTTTGGATTTTAAAATGTTTAAAAAATTTTTTTTTGCATGCTAGATTAACTAATAGCTATGCTATTTTTTTTTTTTTTTAAAGGGCTATCCTATCTTTAGCTATTGTCTGCAAGGAAACAGATCCTTGCAGGGAGTAACTGGGAAGGGCTGGGGAGGGGACAGCCAGAAGAGGATACCCCTGCAGAAAACCACATTTGTGGGATCATCAGAGACTAGTTTGTGCCTATGACTTTTTCACTTGGTTCTTTTCTAAAGAAATAAATGGGACAATTGTTTTATAGACTTACTCCCGGAATGATTATGTGGTAATTTTCTAATTTTATAAGTTACTTGAGAAAAATGCTAAATGATAGGAAGAATTTGTGTATGGTATAGGAAAATCCCCCTTTTGAATCTTGTAATGGAAGTGTTTCCTGTGAAATTTCATGTCAAAGCAATAAAGAGCAAGAGCGAATAATTATGAATAAAAATTAAAGCTTTCTTCTCATTGACCTTCAGCCTCTGGATTGTCTGATGTTTGGTCATCTTTCCTGTCTGCTATTTAAACTATCTTCCCATTCCTCATTTTCCTCTCCCAACTGTCTTTCATCATGTCAAACCTGATATTTTTTGGGGGGGTGGTCGGCTGGACAGTACAGGGATCCAAACCCGTGACCTTGGGGTTATAAGGCCGTGCTCTAACCAACTGAGCTAAAGGGCCAGCTTCAAACATTGATTTCTTAACTGTGTCTTTAATTGTATTTATAGCCTTGTCTAAGCCACCTCCTTTCTACCCTCACCTTCATTCATACCCTTTGCTCCCAGCACATCTTTTTCCTGTTCTGTGATTCCTTTCTTGCCCCATGACCTGCACACAGCCTCCAGGCAGCCCTCTGAGCCCAGAACACTTTGAGCAATCACCTGTCCCTTCTTCTCTCCCTCACATCTTCTTTGACTATTGCTTGACTGAAGATCATCGCGATCCACTGTAGACTCCCAAATAATTCTGACTAGGTCTTTTACATGAAGGTTCACTCTCTCATCACATTCCCTCTTTCTACATCTATGTTTATATTACACCTGCTACTTTTAAACTGTGAGCCCCACTGGTAGAAAACTAAGCTACCACCATGTTCTGCATAGTGACTTTTCAGACAGCATCAAATTTTGGGTATCTGTGGTGTGCAGAACCCATTAATGCATATATTAACATTGAGTCAGAGTAATATTAATAACAACAATAATACTGAGACCACAGAAATAAATACCCAAACCAAACACATTCATCCTTCCTCTTCCTATGATTCTCCAAGTAGGAACACAGGTTATTCTTGAGAAAAAAGGCTGAACTTAGTTCCTGGTATAATATTTAGCACTAGTGACACTCAATAAGAGAGCATTAATCAAAGGTAATTTTTTTTTTTCTTCCCAAAAAGAGAACAGGTTTTCAGTGTAGTAAAGAATTTGACTTGTATACAGAAATGCCTGTGTGTGGGCCAGCCTGTGGCTTACTTGGGAGAATGTGGTGCTGATAACACCAAGGCCACAGCTTCCGGTTCCTATACAGGGATGGCAGGTTAGCTCACTTGGGAGAGTGTGGTGCTGACAACACCAAGTCAAGGGTTAAGATCCCCTTATTTTTCCGTGTCCGGCAACGGATCGCAACCCTCAGTGTTGCCCCCGTACCGGACCGGGGACCAGCAACGGGATTGCAACCCTCGGCGTCGCTCCCGCGCCTCGCTCAGCCAGTGAGCGGGAACCGGTCTGTATGTGGGATCCGAACCCTCGGGCGGGAGCGCCGCCACGCTTCCCAAGCGGCGCACTATCCAGTGCGCCACCGGGCCGGCCCATTACCAGTCATCTTTTTAAAAAAAAAGAGAGAGAGAGAGAGAGATGCCTGTGTGCATTGCAGTATATCAATTTATGTAACTTAAGGCACATAATGGTGAGAGTTAAAGATTGCTTTTTGGTTTTGTTTTAAATTGAATATGATCTTTTAAAAGAGAGTGTTAGGTCCAGGGTTCAATCCCTAGACTGGCCAGCCACCAAAAAATTAAAAAGAAAGTGTTGCCCTTACACCATTAGTTTAATAACAATTTTAAATTCTTTAAAGAAAGTTTGAAAATTTATAATTTTTAGATTAGCAACTGGGAAAATATTTAATACATCATTTGATTTTTTAAAAGACTACAAAATTTGGGCCGGCCCGTGGCTCACTCGGGAGAGTGCGGTGCTGATAACACCAAGGCCCCGGGTTCGGATCCCACATAGGGATGCCAGTTCGCTCACTGGGTGAGCGTGGTGCTGACAACACCAAGTCAAGGGTTAAGATCCCCTTACTGGTCATCTTTAAAAAAAAAAAAAAAAAAAAAGACTACAAAATTTTCTTTTTTAATTTTCATATGAAGAAGGATTAGATGTGAACTTTCCATAAAAATAGTTAATTTTTTGAGTGCTATAATTATAGGTGACTATTCTTTCTTTTATGTCTTATTTAATTTTCCTTATAGGTTTTTTTATGCAATAACTTAAATTTGGGGGTGGGGGAGAAAGCTTGGGGTTTGTAATTTATGATGACTCTCAAGACTTCTCTTGCTCTGGCAAAGCCTATGCCCTTACTAGTTCCAGTTCTCAATCTTGACCTCTAAACAGCCTAGGAAGGTAGGAATAGGAGATCAGTGTCTCCTTTCTCAGCCCCTGATCTGCAAATGGTACTTTCAGAATGATGATATTTGAGGAATAGAGGATTGCAAATGCCCAAAACATGATTCTGTGCATTCTGACAATTTGGGAAGCAGCATAGCACAGTGGCTAAGAACAGCTATGGACTTTGCTGTCAGATGTGCTTAAGTTTGAATCCTAATTTTGTCAAGTGCTAGATATAACTTCAACAATTTACTTAACTTCTTTGGGTTTATGTTTACTTACATATAAAATTGGAAAATACTGAAATCTATGTCATAGAGCTGAAATGAGGATTAATAGAGTAGGTCTAGTAAGAATGGTTAGTGACATATCAAGTGCCCATTAAATGTAGCTATTTTTACCCCACTTGGCTGGCTTTCCTGACTTCCCAGACTTTGGAGCTTTGCTGGAGGTATTGTCTGGGCATTTCCACTTAGTTAATTAATTAATTAGTTTATTTTGCTTCCATAGATGAGGTGAGAATTGTCTGTCAATTTCCGTATTTTGTGCTAATCTGAAATCTGCTGACTGGGAATGACCTGAGGACTTGTTCTTGTCCTAGAAGTTGCCCTGTCTTTTCCATCTCCACTTATTGAAGTAATCTTCTTTTCCTTTACAGATATATGTAATTGACAGTGCAGACAGAAAAAGATTTGAAGAGACGGGTCAGGTAAATAACTCTGTGATATATTTCCCAAATAACTGGTTATTTATTAATCTACTTGTAAATGTGTGAGAGTGAGGGAAGTATTTTTTGTTTAATCTTTACAGTTCAAACAAGACAATCATTCTGGCAAGCAGGCAGAAATATCAGTTGTCTAAAAAGAAATTAGTTTAGAGTCCTTTAAACAATTTTTTGATTAAAACCTTTTAGCTTTAATCAAATTGAATATACAAGATATAAGCAAGTGGAATTTAGCACCGTGCCCAAAAGCTCTTCTAGCTTCTTCCCAGGCCATGTAGATATGAACCCAGAGGAACATTTCACTTATCATTTCTGTTTACATTTTTTTAGTACCTACTTAATTGATTCAGGGGTAACTTTGACCAATTCCAAAGGATGGGAAGACACGTACAAGCCAAAACAAAGCTGCTCTTGTTTTCAAGCCAGGAGATAAGGTGCACTTTGAACCTGTATGGCTTCAGATGCAGGGTACATGTCAACATGATGACATGATGTGATCTGTGTACACATTTTCACATGGAGGAGTGGTGGCGATGGACCATCTCACCCAGAGTGGGTTCATTGAGAGAGGAAGCAGGGGTGGAAAGGACCTCTTTGGAGAAGCATGCTTAGATCTCATTGTGGGGTCCTTGGCTGTGTAGAAAACTGCCTCAGGTGGCCTTCCAAAAGGAGTAGTCCCCATGTTTATGGTCCTTTTTCTTGGCTCTTAGGTCAAGAACTCTCCAGACTCCTGGAGACAGCCCACCTCCCTTCCATACTTGGATCATCACTCATGTGAACTGATGCTAATAATGAGCTTGGAGGTGGAGGGGATCATACACAGTCATCTGCCTCTTGGACCACCTGGTTCTCCTTGAGACTCCAAGTGTTTTAAGTAGTTAAAATGTGGGCTTAATGAGGAAGGGGGGGGCTGTCATTTAGGTAATCATATACCCTCTGCTATACTTTTTGCAGACAGAATCAACATACAGACCCCAGCTTATAACCTAAAAATCAAGGACCTTGCCAGATGGACTAATAAAGTTATTTTAGGATGTGGGTTTGATGAAATGTGATGCTTATGCATGCATGTTTTAGAGATAGAGACTGATGAAACAGCATTATAATCTCAAAAGCAATTTTCATTTTCAGTTTAAATTTATTCACACACACACGTATGCATTAAAAGTTATTTTCAGATAATAACCTTGGGTAAGTTTTAAATCTGTAACCACTACTTGTATTCTCCCTTGAACAGTGTTTCTCAAAGTATGATCTATGAATCACCTATAGCAGAATCACCTGGGGAGTTTGTTAAAAATGCAGATTCCATGGGCCGGCCCGGTGGCGCACTCGGTAGAGTGCGGTGCTTGGGAGTGCAGCAGCGCTCCCGCCGAGGGTTCGGATCCCATATAGAGACCGGTCCGCTCACTGGTTGAGCGTGGTGCGGGCGTGACACCGAGGGTTGCGATCCCATTGCCAGTCACGAAAAAAGACAAAAAGGGGAAAAAAAAAATGCAGATTCCTGAGCCCTGGCTCGTACTTTCCAAAGTTAGCATGTCTGGGTTGGGCCCAGGAATCTGCCAGGGGATTCTTCTACAGACTCAAGTCTGAGAATCACTGCTTTTGAAAGCTGCTAGCTGATCAGCTTAACTGTTTTGGTTTTTTCTATTTAGAAGTGCATGGTTAAATATCTTAGATTTCATCTTTCCCTCCTCCTCCCTTTCCAAAATGATCCAGGAACTAGCTGAATTACTGGAGGAAGAAAAGCTAAGTGGTGTGCCGGTGCTCATCTTTGCAAATAAGCAGGATTTGCTCACAGCAGCCCCTGGCTCTGAAATCGCTGAAGGACTGAACCTGCACACCATCCGTGACCGAGTCTGGCAGATCCAGTCTTGCTCCGCTCTCACAGGAGAGGGTGTTCAGGTGAGATTACAGGAAAGCTTGGGTACCTGGCAACCTGACGGTCACCCAAGGTGCTCTGTCTCATTGGTTGGGCTGATCTAGATAGAAAAATATATGATACAAATAGCCTTCGGTTGGCAGATTAACCATTCCAAGTAAAGGGCATGGAGGAGTTTGTTTCTTTTCTCCTTAGCAACCAATCAGATGTCATGAAGTGTTCCAAGTAAGCTACAGATAAACCACCCAACACATGCAACCAGTTTTCCCCATTGGGTAGGTGGTCAGAATGGAAGACTTGGAAGATTGTTTCTAACTCTAGTATTCTTTAATGATTAGTTGGGGTTTGGTATTGTGTGTAATATTAGGGCTGCTAAATACCTGTACTACTAAGGTGATGGCCATCAATAATCATACACACGGGGCCAGCCCGTGGCTCACTCGGGAGAGTGTGGTGCTTATAACACCAAGGCCGCGGGTTTGGATCCCATATAGGGATGGCCGGTTGGCTCACTGGGTGAGCGTGGTGCTGACAACACCAAGTCAAGGGTTAAGATCCCCTTACCAGTCATCTTTAAAAAAAATAATAATAATAACAATCATACACACACTAGTTATCCTTGAAGTGTTTTTATTTCTTCTGTTGGTTATCTCCACTGCCCTCAGGGTTGGTGTCTGTTTCCTGCTACTTCAGATTGGTTTCCCACTGGTATGTTTCTGCTGACAGAAAGCCGCATTCTTTGTACTGAGGAACTGTATACAGGAAGAGCAGGCTCCCCCTCATTTCATATTAACTTAGGGCAGAAAATCGTTGTATCCCAGACACCCAAGAGGCTGTATACTCAAAGAATGATAAAACAGTTTCAGCTCTGATGCTTCCAACCAAGCAACCTCAAATCAGCCCTCTAGGACTCTTTCTTATTTGGAAGCCCCCAGCATACTCTGCATGCCTCATTTGAAACATCTGGTCTACCTGCCACGGATGTGACAGTGCTGTGAGAACTGGAAGGTATTGTTCGAGGATATGAGGGGGATTAACCACATCTAAAGAAATTATATCTTTCCTCATTACCATATGACGTATGTCTGTAGTGTCATGACCAGATTGCTTTTCTCACAACTTGGCATGTTGGGATGTGAACCTGACATTTGATTCTTGACCATCATCCTGCAGCTTCCTTTTATTTCCCTTGCAGTATTATTCTTTCCTCTCTCCTAAGACATTTGACACTGGTTTGTCTTAAAACAGCCTGTCTGCTTTTATCCCAGCAAATAATCACTTCCTAGAAATATCTCAGTTCTGTAAGGTTTGCTTATGGTTTTTTCCTTCTTGTTACACAAACAGCTGGAGTCTGCTTCTATGCTTGGCCTCTAGATCCGAGGACAGAGCAGGCAGCATAAGACAAGTGCCCCCTCCTCAGCCCGCTCAATACCTGCACCCTCAGAAGCTCTTCGTGCACGTGTGTGTGTATTGTGGGGACTCTATAGTAGCCAGAGACTACCTCGGCAACATCCCCAAAATGGATTCTAGACTGGGTCTCAGTGAGGTTTAGGTTTGGGGGAGTTTTTTTTTTTTTAGTCTTATTTCCTTCCTTCCTTCCTTCTATCCATCCTAAATTCTGATTATGAAAGTAATATATTCTCACTGTTAATTATATAAAAGTATATAAAGTGAAAAGTTCTTTCCTCTCCCCCAATCCTACTGTACAAGAAACTAACTACTATTAATAGTTTTATTCTTCTAGAGTTTCCCTTATAAAATTGCTATCACATATGTAATTATGTATCTATCAGGTTTCATATTAACTGCATTTTTAGATTAATTTACAAGCTGGTCTAACAAGTAAACTACAACCCAGGATGTTTCTGAATAGTAAACTCTGATCGTTTTATTTAGTTTTCTCCAATTGTAACCTACTTTTTAAAAAATCAAGTTTTGCCTATCATGTTTCTGATTGTGCATAGGATGATATTCACGAAGCCTAAGGTTATTTTGATAAGGATGAGGCCCAGGAGGAAATAATAGCTTTCTTGTGTTTCTACAAACTGCTTCAGCAAGAGGACTCTGCCTCTCCAAATGGTTTAGAACACAAATTTAGAAAGTCGAGAGCATCTTGGGATTAGGGGATATAAAGGTGGGACTAAAGAAAAGAAATACATTTTGTGTGCATACCCATAAGAAACTGTGATTACAGTTCTGTAATCTTTTTTGGCTTGGTCAGAGTGTTGAAAGGAAGAAACAGGAAAGCCGGAATTAGGCTCTTGTTTCTTCAGCCAGCCTTAAGGATGTAAAAAAGGAAGACTAGAGTTATCTAGAATCAGTATTTAGAGTAGGGGCGTTGAAGTCAAGGGCACTACTTTAGAGGAAACTGGAGGTAAACGGAGCTCCTGTCATTTTCTTCTCAACTCCCACCCCACCTCTGTCAGGTGGAGGTGAAAGGACAGAGCTCTGTGTGCCCAGCCGTGTAATCACCATAGACACGCTGTGTCCTTTTGCAGGATCTTTAGGCCAAAAAGAGGTAGCAAGCTCCTAGGCAGTTAGAGAGTTGGGGTGGGAGGAGGCGGGGACAGGCTATAAAGTAAACCAGTTTGAATAAAATGAGATGATTACATATGGCTTGATTTTGATGAGAAAGTTCTTCTCAGATCAGGGACTTTCAGCAACCAAGTTCACGGGAAATGATATCAGGAAAGATCCAACAAAGAACTGCAAGCAAAAAAAATAATGATTTTCTGTGGAGGAGAAATAGTTTGAAGGTCACTTAATTAGTTTAGTAGATAGTACCATGGTGTATAGAATTGGGTAGTTAAGACTGGGATTTCAAGGTTAATGAGATTAGATAATGGTTAATAGAATGATATAAATTTAGAGAATTTAACCATTATTCGAAATGGGTTATTTAATAAAAATGTTAATTAAGAAGGGAATCTGCTGTCTACTGTCCTTTAATGGTAACCTTTGGGGACTAGAGAAAGGTCATGGAGTTTTTTTATGGAAACACTTTTAATTGGGAGGTACCGATTGACCATGTCCCTCCTTCAGGTAATGCCTGGGACCTAAACTTGTCCACTCAGCCAGCTTCTTGATTTTCACCTTAAAAAGAGTTACTTAAGTGGAATTCCTTTCCAACATTGCTTAGTTGAAGTGCAGACCTTTAATGATTCTTATTAATTAAAATATTAAAATATTAAAAAATTTAAATATTCCTAAAAATGAAAGTCTTCATTAGAAAAATGTCCATAAGAGATCTAGTTGTTCGAGGTTCACTTTCAGACATGGATACTGTATAATAATTACTAAAATTCCTTAATTTTCCTATTTCACCCTCCCTATCCCACCCTACCTCCCCAGAAGAAGGTCAGTAGTAGGCAAAACTATCAAAATGATCAGATACTAAATAGGTCAGGCAGGTAACAGCTCTAATGACCCTGAAATACCAAAAGACCTAGAATTTCTGTTATAGTTTTAGATGTTTAAAGACAGCATCTCTGTTTACCTTGTGTGTGTTTGTGCATATGTGATTAATCAAAATGTATTTGAGAGACCTGTCATACACTGATAAATAACAGGTACCCTTAAGTGAGCGAGTTGGGGGAACAGCCACATAACAGCTAGATGGTGAGCCACACCCCTCTGTGGACTAAGCAGGGCAGGTATGTCACTTCTCCTTAGCTGAGTGGCTTAAACAAGTGATTGAGGTTATGGAAGTTAGTAATTCCTGGGATGGATTTCAGGGTCTCGTTCTACCTCGTGTTCTAAAGGCAAATATGTGCAACCTTTACAAGGATGGGCAATACCACGTGGTGTCCAACAGCCCCTGCTGTGGGTGGGAAGCTACTTTTGAGGGCTTCAAGAGAGTTTCAAACTGGTCTTTCTTTGCCTGATTGATGGTGACTAGGCAGACATCCCTCGTGTAATTGAAGCAGGTTTTCATGGGAAACTGTGGGAGCAAAGAATAAGTAAAGGGCACAAGAAGCTGGAGGAGAACATCAATCTTGGAAACCCTGTCCTGCTAAGAGACCTATATTCTGGAGAAGTGATCAGAAGAGGCCCAGTTATGTCAAGTAGATGAAGGCAGAAAGAGGAGAGACTGAAAAATGTCTGGGAGAGGTAACCTGTAACTCCTTCAGCCAGACTTCCTTATAAACATGGAGGAAGTCGCCCTCTGTGCCCTTGAGGTTTGGCCTGGGTTGCTAGGGCCTCTCCTAGGATATAACATTTAGCACTGGGACTCTCGCTGTTTTCTTTTCCCTTGGGTGTCTAGAAAACAGTGAACAAAGGATCTGGCTTAGAGAAAGACATAGGGAAATCTACCCCGTTCTACCTGCAGACCTGAATTTGAACCCCAAACCACTGCTCTCCTTGTAATCACACCATAAGATTGTCATCCCCATAATGAAGATCAAATGTGCAGAAAATTGGTCAAACCAGTTTTTAACAATAAAGCTTCAACCATTAAACAAATCTATGAGTTCATTTCCTTTAGAGGCAGAGCAGTAACCTACTTCAAGTAAACAATCACCTTTTCTCAGTTGTCTGTTTTAAAAAAAACACACGGCCTTGCCAAATGAAAGCAAGAGTGGCAGGGAATGCTTACTTAAAGATAAGCAGAAGCTTCCTCCTCTTGCAGTTACATTGTCTCTAAGTGTAGTTGCCGCTTGAGGTGGTGGTCTTGGGGGACAGAAGATGCTGGGATCATGCAGCCAGGTAAATAGACAGGCTTCCACATGCATGGATACCTGGCAGCCCAGGAATCTTGAGATTTGCGTTGCCAAAAACAGCCTCAGGAACCTTCAGAGCTATGGTAAAGCCATGCAGGGTGCTTGGCTGGGGGCTGCTCCAGTCTCACCCCCCTATATTCAGCTGACGTCATGAGGAAGAACAAACTGGAACTGCTCCCTTTCCCAGCTTCCAGATGATTCCCAACTGCTCTCTAAGCTCGAGGCAGCGCTCTTACCTCCAGCAGTTGCCCATGCAGAAGTGGTAAAGGTTGCCTACCTCCGCCACATGCTCCCTTGCACCTTCATTTCCTGTCTGTAGTTTGGTAATAATAATAGTACCTACTTCACATGGTTGTTGCAAGGATTAATTTAAAAGATATGAATTTAGTGTCGACTGTAGGCCAGACCCCATACTATGTCCTGTGAAGACAGCCTCAGGCAAGCCTGACGTGGACATTCTCCTCAGGGATCGCAGACGATACTATTATCTTTCCTTTCCAGCGGGTAGCTGGACAAAGCTGGCCCCTGATTTGATTTACGAGGTATTGCCCCCGGTGATTATTGCCCCCCCCCGCCACTTCCCACTTCCAGCTCAGGTTCTCCTCTGGGAAACAAGAAAGGTGCAACTCCCCACCCCCCAAACACTGAATTTGGGTCAGAGGGACCTCCGCAAGCCAAGGACAGCAGCGGGCCTCACCCACTATTGACACCCCCTTGCTTCCCATGCTTTTCCTTCCCCGTTGAAGGTCAGCTGGTGGGGACTGGCCTCTGAGTGCCCTCTGTTGGCAGGACTGTGGGCCAAAGGCCTTTGCCACCGCTGACCATCACAGACATCTGGAGCAGGACACTGCCCCTCAGCAGGACACTGCCATTCTAACCCTCCTCTGCCTCCCAGACAGATGCCCAGGCTAAAGCTGCCCCTCACTGTCCACCTTCTGCTTTGGGTTCCCACAGCTGAGTAAATATTTTTCCTTTCTCTGCCTGCATGCATGTTCAGTTACATATAATAAAGAAACACCCCCTTCTTAATCAGCCATAAAACAAAAGACAAAACAGGATTCACGTAGTGTGAGAACACTGTTCTTGATTTATCTGAGAAAATGGCTTGATAAAATATTGCGAGGCTCGGTAGAGGAGAGGATGCTGAGGTGTGCGCCTTGGAGAGTGCGTACGGGCTCCCGAGCTGGCAAGTGCTGCGTAAGTGCTGAGCTGCTCAGCTGCAAAAGGAGAAGATGGCTATCTCATGCATCCCTCCTTTATGTGTAAAATCTTTTTGTCTCCTGACAGGTGATCGGTTTTTTTTCCCTGGAAACCAATTAGCTACTAAAATTAAACATGCTTCTCTTTAAATTAATCCTTTTCACAAAATGGTCTTGAAATTGGCCTCAGCTTTTCGGAGTAAGTAGTTGACCCAGTTGTAATTGGAGATGCCTTTGGAGTTCCCCTTTCTCCTACCACGGCCCTTCTCCACCCTTCCCCCACTGCTGCCCGCTGCTCTCCACCTTTGGGCGTTCGGCCGTGACCAGCCTCATCTTGGCAAAGGCCATAAGATCTGCTCTGGGACAGCCGTCAGATTATCTGGTTCTCCTGCCCAAGTGCATTGATGGCAACTTGGCAGAGTTTTAATCGCTGTAAATTCAGGTGACGGTCAGATTAGCCAGGAGAGAGGATGCCTGCTGGTTGTTTTGCAGTGATGTATTGTTTATGGGATTAATGTTCCGAATGGCCAAGGGTGTCAGCTGATATTTATTACCGTAAGCTGTCTCAGCTGTTCAGGTTCAGCAGCTAGATCCATGGTCACAGGAAATGCGGGCTCGGCGAGTCATGGATGCCTGATAGGCGCAAATGTGACTGGGACCTCTGTATGTGTGCGCTACAGATGCGGGGAAAGGGATTCATTGCAGGGCCTCTTGGATTTTCTTCTGGGTGTCTGGGGGAACTCCACATACCCCTGCAGGTCGGGAACACTCAGGAAGGGGAGAACGACCCAGTAGGGCTCCAAAGGGGGTTGAAAAGGAGGTCATGTCTGACAGGCCTGGCAGCCATGAGGAATTGTGCCACCTGCCAGGTAGCTGTGGGCATGGTGTGGTTTTTACCTCCGTCCCTCTCCAGCCTTCTAAGAGAGGACACTCTCAAGGTCACTGTGCCTTTAAGGGAACCTTCTCCCCGGCCCCTCTGGTTGGTAGTGCTTAAAGCTAAAAGAAGCAGGCCAGGCCCTTTTAAACTTATCTGTAGTGCTCCTCGATGAGAAATAAATGCACATTGCCCCAGTGTGTGTCTAGTAACACATACTGCAGTGTGTTTGTTTTTCCAAAAAGAAATTTAATTTAACCCAAGTGTACACTGTCACACTGTAAACACACTGGGGCACCAGAAGGGTGGCTTATTGAATTTAATGCCCTAGCAAAGGTCAGCTTTTAGAAAAAGCCAAAAATGGCTGGAATCTTTCCTGATAGCTCCCCAATCAGGCCTTGGATCCAGGCAGATGTGTTTATTTTTTCAGAGGGAGTTCCTGAGGACCCATCTCAAATTCAGACGCTGGGCACTCTCCCTCCCATCTCCCTCCTGTGCTTTCAGGGACCTCCCTTTTCCTCCCAGGAGGTCACTGTCCCTGGTCACCCAGGTGGGCCCCTGGAGCTGGGGACCTAGGAGGGAGGACCCAGACATCCATTCCCCTCCCCTGCCCTCCCAGGCTGGAGTGTGTGGTACCTTTCTTAGAACTAACACTGCCTTTCTCTGCCCATTTCCCTCAAAGGATGGCATGAACTGGGTCTGCAAAAATGTCAATGCAAAGAAGAAATAAAATCTAGACGAATGGAGATGCAGGAGCTGCGGGAGCCGAATTCAGTCCTGAAAAACACTAATTTGCTGCTTTCTGACCAAATGTTTTTCCATCTGTGTACAGCTACAGCTGTTTGAATGGAGGGAACAACACAGTTTAAAAAGAATCCCCATTCCAGCAGTAGATTTAACTGATCTCCGAGGTTCAGTATCATTTTTCAAATAAAGGAATTATATTATTTCCTCTGCATAATTGAAATAGTATTAAATGTCTCAAAGCACATGATTAGAAAATGAGATCTTTTAAATGAGCAAGAGATTGCATTGCAGTTTAGACAATTCCAGTGGGCTTTTTTTTTTTTTTTTTTAAAAAAAAAGAAGAAGAAGAAGCAGCAGCTTATGCTGAGTTCATTTATTTACTGACCTGTCCCTGAAATTCCCTCCATGGTTTTACAACCACAGACAGTGTGTGCTGGTGCTGGTCAGTGATTTTTACCATCACCACTGAGCCAGAGCTTCAGTCTGTCCAGCAGGAAGCTATGGGGATTTGGTGGGGGGGGGCGCAGAGAGAAGACTAGCAGATGATGAAACCATCTTGTCATGCACATGGGAGACTGCAAATGTAATCCTCACCCTTTGGACAGGAAAAAAAAAAATCCTTTCTTGCAAACAAGTCACTACAGACACATACCCCATACCTGCCTCCCCACCCCGACCAGCCACACAGGGAAGCAAATTCTTATGACTTTTGACTGTAATGACATCTGGAATGTAAGGAGAGGTGGGAGGTTTAATTCCAGAAAAATTACAAGGTCCTTAAAAAGCCCTCACATCGAGGGCTCAGGCTAGCGTAAACAGGCTTTCTCCAGTTCAGTGGAGCAGTGAGCAGCCGACTCTGAGATTAGCTGGCTTCTCCACAGCCGTCCTATAGAAGAGATTTCTAAAGCTCAAAGAATTCTGTGTTTAAATGATCACAATAGGCCACTGCTATCAGATTTTAAAAATAAATGCAGCTTTACCATGAACTCGCTCCCCTGAGAAAAGCCAGGCAGATCGATTTTTTAGAAGAGATCAATTTTTACAGAGCTGGTAACTTGGCAGTGTGGGATACTCACGGGTGGAGAAGGTTTGCTGCTGGGAAGAATGTTCGGTGTGTGTGATTGTGGAGGTCGTGCCCAGGGGAGCCAAAGTCACTCCAGCTGCTGGTCTCCCCTGCCTCTCTCCAGCAAAATGTGTCCTCTGTTGATTGATTGGAGAGGCATAGTGGAAGACTTTTCCTGCCCCATGCTGCAAAAAGAGCTTGTTTCCCTGAGCCTTCAGAAACCCCCAGCTTCAAACAGGAGAAAGCAAGCCAGAGCATCACCGAGCTCCTGAATTAAACTCTGTTCTGGTGCCTGAGCTCGGGGGTTTTCAGAGAATGAATGAGAGACTGTCCAGTGCCTGGTGGGTCCTGGGAGGCCAGCTGCCTTCTCATCCCCCTGGGAGGTGGCCCTTCCCAAACCCACCAAGGCATGTGAGCGGACCAGCCCCTGGCCCTCAGAACCCAGCTTTTTCTGGACAAGAGTTATGCAGGAGAGACTGAAGCATGCCAGTTTCAAAGGCGATCTGGGGTGAAAGTCATTAACAAAGCCACCTGGAAAAGGTGCCCTGGGGTGGCTGTGGACAGACCTGCAAGGACTTGCAAAACAAAAGAAGGTGAAGTTTGTTAAACCACTGAGCCACTTGCTCCCTGCAGCCTCCTCAGCTGCCTTCTCTGGCTCACCCAGGCTCCTCTCTTGCTTTGAACAGTGGCAAAACAGAATCCTAAGGAATCAGAGATCCCCCTTCTACCAGGCTGCAAATGGGGCTGTAGCACTTGAAAATTGTTTTTCCTTCCAAATAGTGCACCAGGGATGTTAACTGAGGGGCAAAATGCCTGCTTTGAGGTCTGCAGTTTCGGAACGCTGCAATATGGAACTTTGATTCTGGCAGTGGATGGTCTGTAAAATATTTTTGTTCTTTTGCCACCAACTTAGGGAACTGTTTTAAAGAGTCCTCCCAAGGCCTCTGCTAGCAGGCAGAAGCCACTTGCCCTCCTCTGATAACAGCCTCTGCACATGTTCAGATTTGCTTTTCAGCTAGAGACACAGAGACATTGTGGATGTCACCCACTTTCATCTTCCCTTTGAGCCCTGTTGAACCCTCCTGGGCTCAGCTCAGTGGCAGATGAGAGAAGCCTGAAAAATCCAGAGTTTGAAAGCTCCCATTTGTAAAAACAAAATGCTTTTTAAGTCCCCTTTGCTCTCCCCAGTCCCACCCCTACCCCCACCCCCCGCCCCCTGTGTCCATAACCAGAAGACAGAATCTGAAGCTAGAAAGAGGATACTCCTAGTCCCCTCCTCCTAGCCCCCATGAGTCTTAGTAAGACTTTTGCTCCGTGCACGATTGCATCTGAATGGGTGGGTGAGAGGTTGGGGCAGAGGGCAGGCCAGGCCTGGGAGGGCCCACGATGTGTGCTCAAACCAGCTGTGGGAACAACTCGAGCCCTCCCTCCTCCCGGCCTACCCCGTGCGGCTGCTTTTGGCTGGATTCCCTGCGCCCAGTGCAATACACCCTTTCCCCTTCACTCTCCCTTGGTTACTATGGAAACAAGGGTGTCATTGATGTGTGCTGAGCTGGGGAACATGTCGGTGCACAGCTGAAAGTCAGCGATTATGCCGGCGGTTAGAAATGTGCCAGGGTTAAAGAAGTCCGCAGCTCCCATGACTGCTTGGGGGACACAGGTCTGTGCCCTTCCTCCCGCCCTCCATCTCTGCTTCTCTCTCCTGGCCTTTGACAAATTTCTTTATTCCCCTCTGGACTAAAGTGGGAGTTATTTTTGTGCCACTCTGTGCCCCACCCTCACTGTTGGCCGCTCCTTATCCGGCCTGGCCTGGAGGGTGACACCATGTCACCCTCGCCAGGACTCGTCCCTCGATTCCCGTCAGAGTTTGCTTTGATTTCTCTTTCCTTTCCTTCTCAGGGGCCAGTTCTTACTTCCACTTATTTTTAGCTCTGCACTCCATGTGGTTTCAGGGTTCAGTCTGATCCATCGAAAGATTCTTTTTTTATAGTCCCTTTTGAAAACGATAATCAAAGGAAGGGACGTGGTGTTTGGTCATGTGGAAAACTCAATGTATAATTTAGACGTCTGTCAAAAATCCAACAAATAAAATTTCGCTGAAATGAAAGCAGCCTGGAATGTGTTGTGTTCTTTGCTGAAGCTCAGAGGGGGTCTGCACTGCTTGTCCCTTCAGAGGCTAGCCTTCTTCAAGGTGTTTTTCTTCAGAAGAATATATATAACATGAATATCACCATCAACAACAACAGCAGTAACCCTTTCTTAAGCACTTCCTGTGTGCCAGGCACTTTATATACATCACGGGGCAGCATTAATTCCACTTTGCAGCTGAGGAAACCGAGGCATTTGCTGCAGTTAAGGACTTTTCCTGAGATCACCGAGCCATTAAGTACAGGTAGGGCCTGGAACCTGGAACCTGAATGCTCAGCAAGCTGCCACCTCTGGAGGACAAAAACAGTAAATGACCCATTTCCCAGCAGTCTCAGCCCCAGCCCTCCAAGGCCTCTTTCTGCTCACTTCCTCCCCCATCCCTCCAACCAGCTCTGCTCCCCCAGGGTTCCCTCTGTTCTCACAGCAGCACAGCCATAGATTTTGTACCATCTTTTGCAGACGTCCAGCCCTACACACAGAAAAAAGGGAGAAGACATCATTAGAAAAGTTAGGGCCAGCAGGGAGACTTGAAATTACCTAGTACCTAATAACTGGGTCCTGCTATTAGAGTTCAGGAAGGGGAATGAGGCTCCCAAAGTCACGCAGGAGGTGGCAGAGTTGGCAGTGGTCCAGGGCTCTGCCCTCTGGAGCAGAAGAGCTTGTGGTCCCCTCCAGCAGTCTGGAGACCCAGCAGCACAACTGGTCCCAAAGGGCCCCTCCTTTAAAGTGCAAGCTGTTGGGAGGGAGGGGAGCTAGAGGCAGGAGAGGAAAGGGCTAGGGTTGCCAGGTAAATTACAGGACATTCATTTAACCTTGAATTTCAGATAGACAATGAATAGTTTTTAATTCAAGTATATCCCATGCAATACTTGGGACATTATTATAATACTCAAGAAAATTCACTGTTTATCTGACATTCAAATTTAACTGGCCATCCTGGTTTTTTGTTTTTGTTTCCATAAACCTGGCAACTGTACCTAGGATTCCCTGCTCAAGAAAGGGACAGTGCAGTACAATTAAAAAGTGTATTCTCTGGGAGGCTGGCTGGTTAGCACAGTTGGTTAGAGCAAAGTGTTGGTTTTTGTTTCCATAAACCTGGCAACTGTACCTAGGATTCCCTGCTCAAGAAAGGGACAGTGTAGTACAATTAAAAAGTGTATTCTCTGGGAGGCTGGCTGGTTAGCACAGTTGGTTAGAGCAAAGTGTTATAATACCAAGGTCTTGGGTTCGGATTTTGATACTGGCCAGGCATCAAAAAAAAGGTATTCTCTGTGGTCATCCATGAGTAAGCTCTGTGATCCTGGGCAAGTTACTCTCTTGAGTCCTGCCTCTTCATCTGTGTAATGGGACTAAAGTGGAAGGGAGATTTAAGAGTACAATGTAAATAAAGCACCTACCTAGGGCAATACCTAGCACATAGAAGGAGCACTCCATGCCTCTGTTTCCTATCTTGGTCAAAAGGATTAGAGAAGATGTACATTCAATGCATAGTAGGTGCTAAATCATGGGCAGATAGCATAGTAACTGGCAGAACTGAAGTCCAGGCCTTCTCAGGCCCTCAAGACCTCTGCCCCCCCACCGCCCCTCCCACGTGGCTCTGTGACTTTCAAGGCAACAAACAAGCGGCCAGTGGCCTTCCTGGTGGGGCTGGCAGCCCCCTCCTCTCCCGGCCTCCTAGTGCCACCCCAGCTACACCTCCTGCAATTAGATTTGTAAGTGGGAACAGGCTCTTGTCAGAGGCTCCTGATTGGCTCCAGGCAAAAACACAGTTTAGCGCTTAGTCAAGCTGCAGTTTAGGGCCTCTGTCTCTCTCTCCCCCCTCATCCCCCTTAATTGCAATCTGTTCTGTAATTTCCTTTTCCAACACTGCAGAACACAGAGAAGCTGCAGCCACCAGGAGCAGGGCAGGGGGGAGGGAGAGAGAGCTCCGGCTCCCTGCAGTGAAATCTGCTGCTCTAGCACTTGGGGTAGGTGTGTATGTATGTGTCCAGAACCAGCCACGCACATGAACATGTGGTGATACAGCCAACAACCAGGCCCCCACAGTGTCAGACCAGGGAATAAGTGTTAAGGAGTTACCCACTTGAACCAGGTACTTCACAGTTGTTATCTTCTTTAATCCTTCCTAAGGAGACTATTAACTGTAGATATTGTCATTGTCGTTCACAATTTTGGGATGGAGCTCATAGATTTGAATCACTTGCCCAAGATCAGACAGGAAGAATGGGGCAGGGCCACATGAACATGTGGTGATACAGCCAACAACCAGGCCCCCACAGTGTCAGACCAGGGAATAATTGTTAAGGAGTTACCCACTTGAACCAGGTACTTCACAGTTGTTATCTTCTTTAATCCTTCCTAAGGAGACTATTAACTGTAGATATTGTCATTCACAATTTTGGGATGGAGCTCATAGATTTGAATCACTTGCCCAAGATCAGACAGGAAGAATGGGGCAGGGCCAGCATTTGAACCCAGGTCCGTCTGACTGCTGGGCCTCAAGTTCATACCACAATACCTTTTCTCTTTTGGTGTCTCAGATTTGCTCTCAGAAAAGGAGCTAAGGAATCCTTCTGCACAAAGGAGCATGGAGAGGTTTCTTTTCCCAGAGTGAATAGCAGTGTCCCAAGGACAAAAAGCCTTTGCTAAAGAAATGAAATATTAATGACAGAATGACAAAGAGCAAGCTGAGTCCAGGAGGGGGCAGGGAGAATTTGCCTGAATACCTGAACCTGAGAGGTCCAGGGCTGGGGGCAGGACTAACACTTAGCTAAGCCAACTGCTACACCTTTTAGTAATTAGCTGATCTCCTTTGATTAGCCCTAGTTACTATCCCTAGTTCCCAGATGAGGAAACCAAGACTCACAAAGGTTAAGTCACTTGCCTAGAATCACACAGCTAGGAATGTCTTGACTGGGATTCCTGATGACTAACTTACTCCTAAAGCCATCTTTCTCCAGAATGCCATCTTGACTAAAAAGCAGGGCTCTTAGCTGCTGGGAGTAGCTGGGGAACGGGAGAGCCAGGAATCGGGGAGGGCAAGAGGCAGACCTCACTCTTTGCTTCCTACCCTCTTTTCAGGATCCACACACTCTTCCTCAGAGTCTCAGAGTTGGCTGCTGCTCTGGAGGCCACCAGCAGAGGGGGCAGAGGGTACCCAGCCCCACCCTTAAAACAAAAGAAAGAGGCTGGGGAGGCTGTTGCAGTTTGGGCCTGGCCCAGGGTCAGCTGCCTCCATTCCCACCCAGGGCTCAGCAGCCCCTGATCCAGTTCCTTGGAGCAGCAGCCCCAGGGGGCCCACTTAGACCATCAGAGGGAGAGAAGGAAAAACAGACCACAGAACAGATTCACAGATTCTGTCCACTGACAGTCTCTTTTTGCCTTATTAGTAGAATGCTATTCCTGAGACGAGAGGCCTGTCACCTGGGCCCCCACTGCCTCATATGGGAGAGGATGCCTCGCACCAGGATGCAAAACTCAGCACTAGGCCAGGTACCTTTGTGAAGGGCACAAGCTGCACAGCCATACTTGGTGGCCCTGCCTATTATGCCCGCTAGACCCCTCCCTGGGCCTGGCTCTCAACGCTCTACCTGCAACTCAGTCCCCAGTCCCACCTGGACTGCCTGCTCTTGGGTTTGGAGCCCTGCATCCTTCCCTAGCCTTTTTTGCTGCCAAGGATCTTGCTGGCACATCAACCACCACCCCCCAGGCCCTTGGGTTCCTTCTGGGGACACAGAGCAAGCCTGATCTGGGGCTTTCAAATAGGGAATATGGACGGGGCTTCCCTTGAGCCTCCAGATGACAGAGCCAGAGCAGTTTTCCTGCCTGAATGCTACAAATGGCTTTTGGAAAGAAGAGGATAAGGAATTTTGGTTTTCAAACAACAGTCCACCATAGGGCTAAGGGACCCAATGCAGCCCGATCTCACCTCACTTGCCCCAGCTCCTGTGGGGATTCAGCCTAGATTTTACCCTGACTCAATCTCCGGTCCCTTTTCCCACCCTGAGACCTCCAGATCTGGCAGAGCAGTGGGTTGGGAGAAGAAAAAGAGTGAGGAAGGGGCATGCAGGGGTAGGATGCTGATGCAGGCAGGAGGAGGTGTCTGCACAGCTGCAGGCAACTCCCCTGCCCCAGTCTGTGAATGGGCACATCACCCCCTCCCGCTGCCACCACTGCTCCTGAAACAGTTGGTCCTAATGAACACCAAGCAGGCAGGGCAGCTGTGTGCATTATCCATATGCATGGGGAGGTGTATATTTATCCTCACATCCCGCCCCACCCTGCAGCTGCTGCCATCCCCTATGCCAGGAGGATGAGTGGGCACGAGGGCCCAGGCGGCTCCCAGGCCCCCTGGGCCCCCTCTTCCTCCCAGCCCTCCCTCCCCTACCCACGCCCACAGCCTTCACTTGACCCATTTTGGAGGCAGAAGTTTGTGTGTGTGTTTGAGAGGGAGAAAGAGCGAGTGTGCACACATCATTTCCCCAGTTGGTGCTTTTGATTTCCTCTGAAGCATCTTGATTGCCGATGTACAATGGTATCTCGCTGCCAGTGCTCCCTCAGCAGCTTCTGGCTCTGTGCCGCCTCCTCCCTGGAGCCGGGATTTTCTGCTGACTCGGGCCTGTGGCTGGCTGGCAGAGAAGGCCCACCCTAGGCTTCCATCCCCTGGCTCAGCAGCAGGACCTGGAGGCCCAGCCACAGTCCTTCCTGCTCCCTGGGCTGGGTTCAGGCTGCACCCCCACCTCTTCTACCACATGGACCTCCCACTGCCTCCCAACTGGCTACCTTGTCTCCCCTGCCTGGCTGCGCCTCCCCACAGTGCTCAGAGCTGTTGCGCTAAAACGCAGTTTTGCCCTGATGCCTTCTGAGGCCCTGCTGCTACAGGACGTTCAAGCCCTAACCGTTTATTCTGTCTGCCATTCAAGCCCCTCTGATCTGAGCCCAAATCTTTTTTATAGACTA